GGCCACAGTGTACCATTTTGCCCAGATTGTTTGTGTTAAAAATGTGATTTACAGTAAATACCTGGTTTTTCTCTGGAGGGATGAGGGAGACTGGTACACGCCTACATGACTGACCCTTCATAAAAACAATGGACAAGATGGGTACAGTGGCTTATACCTGTAATCCCAGTACTCGGGAGATAGAGATCAGAAGGGTAATGGTGTAAGACCAACCGCAGCAAAAAGTTAGGAAGACCATATCTCAACCAATAAGCCAGACTTTGTTGCAAAATGTAATCCCAGTTATGCCGCCTGAGCCCAGCTGAGGCAAAAAGTGAGATCTTATCTGAAAAATAAACTAAAACAAAAAAAGGACTGCCTGGTTAGCCAGAGTTCAAACCCCAGTACCACCAAAACCAAAACTCTCCAAACCCAAACCAAAACTCTCCAAACCCAAACCAAAACTCTCTAAACCAAAACCCAAACTCTCCAAATCAAAAAGCCATGCACGAGCATGAACAAGCCTCCTTGCTTTGCAATACTTTGTGAGGACACTTGGAAGTTTGTGCCCAACGCAACTTTTCCCTTTGCTGATTTTATTCAATATGTTTTCACTGCTATGAAACCTAAGTGTAAGTACAATAGCTTCTGAGTTCTGTCAAGGCCAAAGTTTTTCATGGGCACTCCTCATCTCCCTTCCTTTGAAGGTAGGGTTTTCTTGCCTGGATTTCATTACTTTCCCAGCATTGGGCAGAGTTTAAAGCACCTGGTCAATCCCCATAGATTTATTAATCATAAAATCTGACCTGGTCAGTCATGACCCAGTGGCCACTGGATTGAAACCAATATTTCAAGCAGATAGCTACACATCTTAGGATATGTCTGACACCAATGTCTCATCAGCCCACTTTTCCCAACCCCAGCAATGGACATGGGCATGCCAGGTATTGACTGACTACTGCTTGAAATGGTTGAGAAACTGGCAAGTGAACTTCACTGTTTTATATGCCATAGGCCCAAACTGCCAACAAAGAAGGGCTCTGTTAGCTCCCAGAAGTGTTGTTGTAAATCCTCTCATCCCTCCCTTTCTGAAACTGCATATGATGCTGCAGAGATCTAATCTGTAATGCATGCAGGAGAGGAGCCTCTGTCCTTACCTAGAGCTCCTCTCTCAGCTAGGAGGTGGTTGCACCTAGAAAGTATGCCACAAATAATTCAGTATCCATGTTATAAAATGACTTGTATATAAAAACATGAAATCCAGGTGTGGTGGCACACATCTGTAATCCCAGCACTCAGGAGTTGGAGGCAGGAGGACTGTGAGTTTAAGGCCAGTCTGGGCTACAGAGTGAGACCCTATCTTTAAAAACCAAGGGGAATATGGCTCAGTAGGAAAGTGCTTGCCAAACATGCATTAGGCCCTGAGTTCAGTCTCCAACACTGAAAAGTAAAAATGAAAAATAAAAACATAAGTAAAATGCATAATTCATTCTCATTCACTTGTACTCTGATAAACATTCTTGAGGAGAGAAAGAGTTACAAGTATACTGTACACCAAAAGTACACATAAGGTACAACCTCCCTTCTATGTGCTCAAGCATGACATAACTGTTTAAACATTAAAACAGTTAAACTTCACAGCAGAAATGACTATATGTTCAATGCAATTCCCATAAAAATCCCAATGACATTCAACACAGAGAATGCAAAGTCAACCTTAAAGTTCACATGGAAGCACAAAAGACCACAAATAGCCAAGGCAACACTGAGCAAAAAGAGCAACACTGGAAGTACCACAATATCCAACTTCAAAGCATACTACAGAGCCATAGCAATAAAAACAGCACAGTACTGGCACAAAAACAGATATGAAGACCAATGGAACAGAATAGAGGACCTAGATATGAATCCACCCACCTATGCCCATCTAATTTTTGACAAAGGTGTGAAAAACATATGATGGAGAAAAGACAGCCTCTTCAACAAATGTTGAAAACCAGACATCTGCCTGCAGAAAACTGAAACTAGATCCATGTTTGTCACCCTGAACAAGTATCAACTCTCAAAGTGGATTAAGGACCTTAACATCTGAAGCTAGCATAGGAAAGAGCAGGGAATACACTGGAAGCAATAGGCATGGGCAAGGACTTCCTCAGTAGAACTCAAGAGGCTCAGCAACTAACAGAAAGGATAGACAAATGGAACTACATGAAATTAAAAAGCTTCTGCACAACAAAAGAAATGGTCTCTAAATTGAAAAGGCCAGTCACAGAATGGGAGAAAAATCTTTGTCAGCTATACACCAGAGAAGGAACTGATAACCAAATATACAAGAAAGCTCAAAAAACAGAAACTCCGAAAAAATCAATGGTCCAATGAAGAAATGGGCAAATGAACTAAACCTTTTCAAAGGAAGAAGTCCAAATGGCTAAGAAACACATGAAAAAATGCTCACCATCCCTGGCCATAAAGGAAATGCAAATCAAAACCACATTAAGATTCTACCTCATTCCTGTTAGAATAGCTACTATCAAGAACACCATCACCACCAAATGTTGGCAAGGATACTGAAAAAGGAACACTCATACACTGCTGGTGGGAATGTAAGCTAGTACAACCACTATGGAAAACAGTATGGAGGCTCCTTAAAAAAGTAAAAATAGATCTTCCATACAATCCAGCAATACTACTCCTAGGGATATACCTGAAGGAATGTGAGTCAGCTTACAACAATGGCACCTGTGCATCCATGTTTATTGCAGCATTATTCACAATAGGTAAACTATGGAAACAGCCAAGATGCCCTACTACTGATGAATGGATTTAAAAAATGTGGTATTTATGCCACATTTACAATGTAATTTACTCAACCACAAAGAAGAATGAATTTTGTCATTCACAGGTAAATGGATGGAACTGGAGAACATCATCTTAAGTGAAGTTAGTCAGGCTCAGAAGGCCAAAAGCCACATGTAGATTATAGACCCTAAACAAATGCAGCAATATTATGGGACGCAGGTCAAACTAAGGGAAGTTGATGCACGGAAGGGATACAGCAAAAGAAGGAAACTAAAGACTTGAATGTGGTTGATGTGCTCTCTGTGCAGGAATGAATACAGAAATCTTAAACTGCCCAGGGCCACCATGGGACATGGAATAGGGAGGAGTGAAGAGGACTAGAGCTGATGAATCAACTGGAGTTGTAATATATATATGCACGGAAACAACACAAGGAAACTCCCTATGTAGCTATCTTTATCTCAAACTAGAAAAAAATGTCATGTTTTTCTTTTTTTATCTTTTATCTTCTTTCTTCTACAAAATTGAAGAACAGGAGGGTGGAACAGGTCCTGCATGCATGGGGAGATGTTGGCATCCATGGGAGGGGGGAGGTGGCAGGGAAAAGGGGTAGGAGGATGAATATGGTGCAAATAATGTGTACACATGAATGTAAATACAAAAATGATACCTGTTGAAACTGTTCCAGGAATTGGCGGGGGGAGAGAGGGGATGGAGAGCAGTTGAAGGGGGGAATTCAAGTATGATATATTTGATATACTGTAAGAACCTTTATAAATACCACAATGTACCCCCACCCAACACAATAATAAAGGAAAAAACAAAACAGTTTAACTTGTAAAATTTTGTTAGGCAGTGCTTATGAAATGCTGTGATGTTCTTTGACACCTGCTCCACACATCAAGCCTGTAATCTATGACTTTATTTTCTAAGAAAGGCTTTTGGGTTTCGTCATCCCAGAGAACCGGTTCAAGTCTGTGAAATGCTATGTAAATGATACACACTAGTCTAAAAATGGCTCAAGTCAGAGCACTGGGGAATGTGGAGTTAGATATATTTACTGTTTCTTAAAGCAAAATTGAGTATCTCAAATTTGTACAGATTGTAAATTTTCACTGCACTGAGCATTTGGCCTAAGGTAAAGGCCAAAATACACTGTATAGGAGCTAACAGATCAGTGGAAAATATCTATCACACATTAACAAAAAGATTTTATGTTATTGAGAACATTTTATTTAAAAGTCTCAAACAGCTTCTCATCTATGAACTATTCAGAGTCAGAGAAATAGTGCAACAGAACCTAATGGAACTTTTGGCTTTCTCTTTCTTTCATTAAAACCAGCATTTACTGGTGTGTGTGTGTGTGTGTGTGTGTGTGTGTGTGTGTGAGAGAGAGAGAGAGAGAGAGAGAGAGAGAGAGAGAGGAATATGTATTTGTTTTAAAATAAAAGGAGCATTCAATTTGTAAGCATATCCCCTGAAAGTGCTGAATGCCATTCTTATTAAATGTATGTTAACTGCTTGGAATCCCAGGCACATATTTAAGTTCATTTCCTTTCTCCTCAGGCAGTTTCCACAATCCACAACATTTCATTTTAACAGTCCTCATTACTGGTATCATTTAATACTTGAGGGTTTGCTCAAGTCAACATCAATCTTGCTGATCCTGCAAACACTTATTTTGTTGGTACAACATAATTTAAATCCACAGTCTAAATCTTACTAAATGTAGGAATTCAAAAACTATTCCCTCCTCCAACATGTTACCAAGTGCTAAGAATAACTCTATCAATTATTTAGTCCTGTCAGGGGACAGACATCATCAGCTCAGGGTCTTTCATGGAGTCCTTTCTAACGTCACCCATCCTTGTGCTCCCATGTATACTGTATCTTTTCATATATATCCAGCACCTTAAAGTTATTCATTCTGAAGATGGAAATGTTTACTTGAGAGGCACCTTGTTGGACACATCTGATTCCTACTTCCTCACTAACAAGCAATCCTTTGCCACACAATTTTTTTTTTTTCCGTAAGTACAGGGCCTAGGGTTTACAAGGTAAGTGCTCTGCCACTTGAGCCATGCCCCCAATACTAACCAGAAGAGGGAGACTCTTTCCCTCAGCAGGAGCAAGAAAAACCCATTCAAAATAAAATTTCCTCTTGAATTAAGCTTTCAGTGCCTCTAGATGAGTCTAAATTAAGAAGCACAATATTTCCTTACCTGATTGGAGTACCTCATGCTCACATTCCGTTGATTCTGTAGTGGAATGTAGCGCTGGACAGGATCAATGTCTTTAGGACTAATTAACTCATCAGCTGGAAAAAAAAAAAAGGAAAGTGACATTATCAAAAATACACTTGTACAACACTATAAATCAACCAGACCTAAGAGACATCTATAGGACACTTCACTCAACAAGTGCACAATATTCATTTTTCCCAGCACACAGAACATCCTCTAGGATATAACCTATGCTAGGTCATAAAAATAACCCTCAATAAATACAAAAGAAAGGACCAGGCATGGTGGCTAATGTCTATAATCTCAGCTACTTGAGAGGAGGAGATTGGGAGGGTCATTAATTAGCCAATGAATGAAAGTGGACCTCTTTCCCATACATATATAAAAATAAACCAAAATAGATAAAATAATTACATGTAAGAGCTAAAACTGTAAGACTGTAGGGACTTTGATTTATACAAAATTAAATAAAAATGCAAGTGACCAAAGAAATGAGACAAATTAGATTTCATCAAAATTATAATCTTTTGTGCCTCAAAGGTCACTGGGGGCTAAATGATAGCCCCCAGAATAAGAGAAAAATATTGGCAATCTATGTATATTGTCAGGGACTTTTATCTAGAATAAATAACTCTTATAGCTCCATAATAAAAAGACAACCCCCCTCAATTTAAAAATAGCCACAATATTTGGATAGATAGTTCTCTAAAGAAGTTAAGTAAACCACCAATAAACACATGAAAAGACACACAACAAAATTCTTCATTTGGGAAATGCTAAATCAAACCACAACTGAGATACAAATTCATACCCACTGGGATAGCAATATTAATTTTAAGAAATAATAGATAAGAATGTGTTAGCAAGGATGTAGAGAATATTGGTGGGAAAGCAAAATGATACAGCTGCTTTGGGAAACAGTCTGGAAGTTGCTCAAACTGTTAAATATAACAGGTAGTGTATAACCCAGCAGTTCCTTTACTGGGTATACCCAAGAGAAATGAAAAATGTCAAACAATAATTTGTACATGAAAGCTCATAGCACCAGTATTTATAATAACCCAAAATAGAAACAATTCATCATTCTGATGAATGGATAAATAAAATTAGGTATATTCATATAATGGAATGCTATTTTATCATAAAAAAGAATGGTGTGTGGGATTCCAGTGGTTCGCACCTGGAGGCTGAGATCAGGAGGACAGAGGTTCAAAGCCAGCTGGGGCAAATAGTTTGCAAGTCCGTATCTTAAAAATACCCAACACAAAAAAGGGCTAGTGGAGTGGCTCAAGTGGTAGAGCACCTACTTGCAAGTAGGCCCTGAGTTTAGCCAACCCCCAACAGCCCCAAAAAACAGGAGTGCTGATACTGGAGGAACCCTGAAAACATTGTTAGGTGAGAAATGTCAGACACAAAAGGCCATACACTGTATGATTTGGAGTATATAAAATGCTGAGAATTAGCAAGAGAAAGATTAGTGACTGCCCAGTGCTGGGTGTGTGGTGGGGGTGGTGGCTCTAAACTAGTGATTAGAAAGAAATGGGGAATGACTGCTAGGATTTTTTTTTTTTAAACATTGTATCTCACTGTGTAGCCCAGGCTGGCACAAACTTACAATACTCCTGTCTTAGCCTCCCAAGTGCTGGGATTACAGGTGTACACCACCATGACCTGCTATGGTAGAAAGTCCTTTTAAAGACTAATGACAATGTTTTGAAGTTGAATATAACGATGGTTGCACAGTTCTCTGTGAATATACTAAAAATTGTTGAATTATAAACTTTAAAATTGAAATGAATTAGATGTGAATTACAGGTCAATAAAACCATTTTAAAACTATGCTTAATAATGCCAAGGAAGTAAACTAGTTTATTATCCTAACACTACATTGTAAAAGGATTCAGAGATGGGCATTTTTCACGGGACACTGACTGGGATGAGAACAATGTCATCTATTGCTGTCATATTGTAAATGCAGAAGGCCTTTTCCTGCGGTAGCTCTTTGTGGCAACTTCTGATAAAAATCCAGGGATACAGCAAGTGATAACTTAGATGCGAGAGTTGGGGGTAAGGAGGGGCAGGGTGAAGAAGGCCTGTCAGTGTTTCCTGCTGTCTTCTCCACACACCTGAATGATACTCATCAGACTTGAGGCTCTCTGCAGCTGGGTTTCTGCAAGGACCTGGAGGTGAGTAAGCTGGGGAGAGGTGATGATAGGAAAGGCCCTCTGAAATATAATTCTGCACAACCTCCTTATAGTGTATCAAGTGGGCAGTATCCATGCAAATATCTAGTGAGCATATTCTCCAATCTAGCAATTCCATACCTATAAATTTAGTTATGTTCACACATGTTCAAATTAATGGAAAAATAACTGTGAAAAATGAAATCAAATTCTACTAAAATGAACTGGCACACACCTGCATTTTTCCTGCATGTTCATTTCATTCTTGATCTTCAGTTCTATACTGATCATGTAGAAGTAATACTATGCTGAATTTGGTATAAATGTATCTGTGTATAATTTTCATGAAACAATTACAGGTCATTTGCCACATGTTTTCAGGTACTGCTTTCAGGCAGTAAATAATTCTGAATAGCAGACCAGGGAGTCAATGATTGAAAATTTCTTTGCAGCTTTGGGAACATTTCTATGGGGCATTTATGTTCTGGGGTACCTTCCAGGCATATCTGTAATGCTACAACAAACAAAACCACCTAAGTGTGCTTTAGTAACTCTTGGAGGGAGGATTTCAAGTAATATTAACAGTAGAGTACCAAAGAAAAAGAGAAAAAGGGTGTAGCAGCATGTGCTTTCTAAGTTCTTGATATCATTTAAGCATTTCATGTACATTAATTCTGACAACAATCAGATCATTCTACAGACTATAAAACTGAGGCACAGAGTGCATTATGGCTAGTATATGGCACATGTTCTTTTCTCTGAAAAAAATACTTTTGCAAAATTTGAACCATACCAATACAGGCTTAATTGCCGCTGATAATGACATGTAACTTTGATTTATTAGTTTCAGTTTAGCTCTTGATGCAAGGTTGATGAGTACATTGATATTCTAAGTAAGCAGAAAATTATTTCCCTAGCTCGTTTGTATTATCACTGAGATACGAAAAAATTTCCATAGCCAACAAGCATGTTACATAATTAACATTTCAGTATTATTATACAGAAACAAAAGTCTGTATTTTGTTATTTATAAGTGATGGCAGATAAATTAAGAAGCTTTATATATCCTTAGAAAGTATAAATGCTAATCTATTAATATTGATAATGAATCAAATGTTTAACCAAGTCTCATGAAAGCTTATCTTTGCATTTCCTTTGTATTTTTCTCTATCCAGTTAGATATTTCACTGCATACCTATATCATCATCTACCACCGCATAGGGTGCATACTGTTTATTCTTGGTTATAGCCCAGTACCTAGCACGTCATTTGGCACACAGTGAATCTCACCAGACTTACTAAAGAAAAGAATAAGCAGGTGGGTTAATAAATATGGAAGCACTAATAGACACAATCATTCATTTCCATAATGGCAAAAGTGACAAAAACCCTTAAAAGGTCAAGTTCATAGATATATCTTTTCCCACAGTGTTGATTTTTATCATTCAGGAGGCCAAAATAGTTCTTCATTGTGCCAATTCAATAATGATTTTTTTGATGAAGAGTGACAAGACTCAAAGAAATTATACCCAACCAACTACAGAATATTTAAAATGAGAACAAAAGAACAAGGATAAAGGAGCAATGGTTTTCTATATTTACAGGACCAGACCTCAAAGATAATTAAGTATGTCTAAAACAGGGATTAATTTTCTATGTATTTCGTAAGCACAGAGAGGTTTACAAAACAGACCCTGGGTTTACCTCAACTAATGTTGAGGATCAAAAGAAAATATTAAATTGAATAATATATAATATATACATGTATCAAAACAGCACAGTGGCCCCCATAAATTGTACAATCTTTATGTCCATTTAAAAATATTTTTTAAAAAATTAAGAATTTTTGCTTCTTTAGTAAAATGACAACCTAAGGAACATTTACCAAAGAAAGTTTTTTTTTTTTTTTTCCAATCCTGGTATCAAAATTACACAGGCCACACTCAAATAGGATCATGAAATAATTCACAGAATACAATTATATACTTCAAAGCCTAACTGATTCTTGGCTACACTGACTCATCTAAGTAATGCAGATTATGAAATGAGCCATATGGAGAAAAATGCAGATTCTCAAAGAATTCCAAATTTTTATACATTTTTAACTTGATTAAGAGTTGAGTTGGTTTGATGGACTTTCTAAGATTGAAAGTTAAATTCCATGACAAAAATCACTGCAGAAAATACTGACAAATCTCAGTATAAAAAGATTTTTAATTTCATTCATCAAAAAACAGCATAAGCAAAATTTGGAAGCAAACAAACTAGGAAAATATACTTTAACATATAACATTCATGCAGACTGTTGAGAAAAAAACATAAAACCAGGGTTAAATGAGCAAAGCAAATTACTAGACAATTCACAGAAGAAAGTGATTCAGAAAGGTACTTTAAATAGTCAGCATGTAAATGAAACAAGGATGCAATTTAATATCTTAGTAGGTTAACAAAAATTTTAAATAAGAATATTTAATGCCTTGGAGGTTGTACTTTATCTTGAAACTGTTTATTCTTATGAAAAAATCATGATTGTCAGTCATGAACAGTGTGATCGTGGGTAAACTACTAAATTCTTCTGGGCTTCAGTTATCTGTGTCACATAGTACTCATAAAGAAGTTAGGAGGATTACTTGTGATAATATTTGTAAAAAAGCAGAGCACAGGCAGAAACTGACAAATTTTAAGGTCGGTATCATTATTAACATTTCTGGAACACAGTGTGGCAATATATATGAAACATCTATTCAGACTCTAGGAATTGCTGCTTTCACATTCAAATTTAGTAATGTATGTGATGGTGAGGCCATTATTTTTTATGCAAATTTCTAGCCCTATCAGACATTCACCTAAAATGTTTTAGTTTGAAGAAAGACAAGTTATTTGTATGATAA